TAAAAAATAAACCCCCCCAACCCATTCGTGCCCGCTCTTTTACCTCCCTCTCTCCCCCGTCCCTACTCTCTCTCTCATCTCCCCTCTCTCCCCACACATCTTTTAAACTCATCTGTCTTTATACTCTCTCTCACTCACCACACCCCCCTCTTTTTAATTTTCCCCTCGTCTTTAATAAAAGATTTACGCCTCTTTACCCGCAACTATTTTAAACTCTCACTCCTCTCTGCCCCCGCCGACTCCTTGTACATTATTTACTTTTAAATATATTTTTAAATCCCCTTCCACTCCCCTCCACCCTCTAATTCTTTTAAAAAAAAAAAAACATAACATCACCCCCTCTTCTCCTATCCCCCCATGTCCATTTCCCCTTCATGTCCGTTCCTCCACTCTCTCTCCCCCCCTCCCTTTTATAGTATCTTTAAAAACAAAATACCCACCACGAGCTCCCACCTCTCTCTCTCCCATCCCCCTCCCCTTTAAAAACATTTACTTCTTTTTAACTACCACAACCTTACACAACACTTTTCCCTCACCCCCATCTCGTTTACAATAAACAGTCGCCTCACTCTACTCTCTCCCCCTCTTCCCACTCGTTAAGTCCTCTCTCTCCCCCTCTGTTGTTTAAATAATTTTAATTCTTACCCAAAAAACCTTAACCTAACCCTTGCGACACTTCTTTTTTAAAAACTTTTTCTCATCTCCCCCCCTCTTTATAAAAAAGCTAATCCATCCTACCACCATCTTTTTAAGAAAAGAATCCCTTTAACCAATTTCCCCCTCTTTACTCTCTCCCCCCTCTCTGCTCTCTCTCCCCCCTCTCTGCCCTCTCACCCCTTTACTCTCTCTCCCCCTCTTTACTCTCTCTCTCTCTCCCCCTCTTTACTCTCTCTCTCTCTCTCCCTCTTTACTCTCTCTCTCTCCCCCCCTCTTTACTCTCATCTCTCTCTCCCCCCTCTCTGCTCTCTCTCCCCCCTCTCTGCTCTCTCACCTCCAGTTTGCCGCTGCTCCGTCCCGCTGCGATCAGGTTCCCCCTCAGCTCCATGGCCCACACAGAGCTGTCCCAGTCGGCTCTCCCTCCCCCCCTCTCCTGTGGCACAGCCGTCTCCCCCACACTCCCCCTCCTCTGCGGCGGCTGGACTGTGGAGGGGGGAGAGCAGGAGAGGGGGGAGGCACAGGGGAAGGGGGGCTCGTGCTCCAGGTAGGCCCTCTCTACCAGCCCCCCGAAGTCAAAACCCCCTCCCCCAGGGGGAGTGCAGGGGTGAGAGGGGGGAGAGCTGGGGTCAGAGGTCACACTGAAGTTGGTGTCGATGAGCGGCGTGAGGTCGGGCTGGTCCAAGAACAGGGCGGGGCGCAGGGGGGTGGAGCGGCGCCTCACGGGGACCTGAGGGGCGGGGTTAAAGAAGACATAACATGTTCTATCTGCTGATGGTCTATGGACTATCAGCAGAAAGAGACCAGAGAGAGAGACCAGAGAGAGACCACAGAGAGAGACCAGAGAGAGAGACCAGAAAGACCAGAGAGAGAGAGACCAGAGAGTGAGACCAGAGAGAGACCAGAGAGAGACCAGAGAGAGAGAGAGACCAGAGAGAGAGAGACCAGAGAGGCCGAAGAACCAGAGAAAAAGAAAGTGTACTGCCTTAACCAAGGTCCAGGTTTCAGGTCTTAGCCAGTGTCCAGGTCCAGGTCTTAGCCAGTGTCCAGGTCCAGGTCTTAGCCAGTGTCCAGGTCCAGGTCTTAGCCAGTGTCCAGGTAATGTGATGCTGTGTGTTGGTACCGAGTATCCCTCGTCGTCTGAGGGCAGGTCTGTTCCCAGGGAGAGGTCCTGGGCCTCGGAGCTCGGGGCCTCAGAGTCGGGGCCCGTGCTGCTGTCCCAACCGTCCCTCTGCTCCCAACAACCACTGCTGCTACTGCTGCGTCTGAGGCTGAGGAAGAAGAGAGACGTGTGAGAGACCAGAAAGAGACCAGAGAGAGACCAGAGAGAGAGACAAGAGAGACCAGAGAGAGAGAGACCAGAGAGAGAGACTAGAGAGAGAGACCAGAGAGAGACCAGAGAGAGAGACCAGAGACCAACCAGAGAGAGACCAGAGAGAGAGACCAGAGAGAGAGACCAGAGAGAGACCAGAGAGAGAGACAAGAGAGACCAGAGAGAGAGAGACCAGAGAGAGAGACCAGAGAGAGAGACCAGAGACCGACCAGAGAGAGAGACCAGAGACCAACCAGAGAGAGACCAGAGAGAGAGACCAGAGAGAGAGACCAGAGACCGACCAGAGAAAGAGACCAGAGAGAGAGAGACCAGAGAGAGAGACCAGAGACTCACGTGTTCTTGGGGATGACGGTCAGACAGTCCCCGGTCTGGGCGTCCCACACTCGGATCTGTCCTGCCAGACAACAGCTGGCCAGCAGCATCCCATCACTGGCCAAGCACTCGATGTCCTGCACCAGAGAGGACCAAGTCACACACATGACACACACATGGTTCTATCACACACACACACATGACCCACACATGGTTCTATCACACACGCACACACACGACACACACATGGTTCTATCACACACACACGACACACACATGGTTCTATCACACACACACACAAGGTTCTATCACACACACACACAAGGTTCTATCACACACACGCACACACACGCGCACACACATGGTTCTATCACACACGCACACACACACGGTTCTATCACACACGCACACACACATGGTTCTATCACACACGACACACACATGGTTCTATCACACACACGACACACACACACGCACACACACGACACACACATGGTTCTATCACACACGCACACACACGGTTTTATCACACATGCACACACACACACGACACACACATGGTTCTATCACACACGCACACACACGACACACATGGTTCTATCACACACGCATGGTTCTATCACACACGCACACACACGACACACACATGACACACACACGACACACCCACACACGACACACCCACACATGACACACACATGACACACACACACATGACACACACATGGTTCTATCACACACACACACACGACACACACACCCACACATGACACACACATGGTTCTATCACACACACACACACCCACACATGACACACACACACACACCCACACAGGGTCTGGAGTCTGTGTTCTTAAAGAGCGACTAAACACCATAATCTTTTTTTAACTCATAACCTGCATAAATACAGTGCCTTGCGAAAGTATTCGGCCCCCTTGAACCTTTCAACATTTCGCCACATTTCAGGCTTCAAACATAAAGATATAAAATTTAATTTTTTTGTCATGAATCAACAACAAGTGGGACACAATCGTGAAGTGGAAAGAAATTTATTGGATAATTTAAACTTTAACAAATAAAAAACTGAAAAGTGTGGCGTGCAATATTATTCGGCCCCTTTACTTTCAGTGCAGCAAACTCACTCCAGAAGTTCAGTGAGGATCTTTGAATGATCCAATGTTGTCCTAAATGACTGATAATGATAAATAGAATGCACCTGTGTGTAATCAAGTCTCCGTATAAATGCACCTGCTCTTTGATAGTCTCAGGGTTCGGTTTAAAGCGCAGAGAGAACCATGAAGACAAAGGAACACACCAGGCAGGTCCGAGATACTGTTGTGGAGAAGTTTAAAGCCGGATTTGGAAACGAAAAGATTTCCCAAGCTTTAAACATCTCAGGGAGCACTGTGCAAGCAATTATATTGAAATGGAAGGAGTATCAGACCACTGGAAATCTACCAAGACCCGGCCGTCCCTCCAAACTTTCATCTCAAACAAGGAGAAGACTGATCAGAGATGCAGCCAAGAGGCCCATGATCACTCTGGATGAACTGCAGATAACTACAGCTGAGGTGGGAGAGTCTGTCCATAGGACAACAATCAGTCGTGCACTGCACAAATCTGGCCTTTATGGAAGAGTGGCAAGAAGAAAGCCATTTCTCAAAGATATCCATAAAAAGTCTTGTTTAAAGTTTGCCACAAGCCACCTGGGAGACACACCAAACATGTGGAAGAAGGTGCTCTGGTCAGATGAAACCAAAATCGAACTTTTTGGCCACAATGCAAAACGATATGTTTGGCGTAAAAGCAACACAGCTCATCACCCTGAACACACCATCCCCACTGTCAAACATGGTGGTGGCAGCATCATGGTTTGGGCCTGCTTTTCTTCAGCTGGGACAGGGAAGATGGCTAAAATTGATGGGAAGATGGATGGAGCCAAATACAGGACCATTCTGGAAGAAAACCTGTTGGAGTCTGCAAAAGACCTGAGACTGGGACGGAGATTTATCTTCCAACAGGACAATGATCCAAAACATAAAGCCAAATCTACAATGGAATGGTTCACAAATAGACGTATCCAGGTGTTAGAATGGCCAAGTCAAAGTCCAGACCTGAATCCAATCGAGAATCTGTGGAAAGAGCTGAAGACTGCTGTTCACAAACGCTCTCCATCCAACCCCACTGAGCTCCAGCTGTTTTACAAGGAAGAATGGACAAGAATTCCAGTCTCTCGATGTGTAAAACTGATAGAGACATACCCCAAGCGACTTGCAGCTGTAATTGCAGCAAAAGGTGGCGCTACAAAGTATTAGCGCAAGGGGGCCGAATAATATTGCACGCCCCACTTTTCAGTTTTTTATTTGTTAAAAAAGTTTAAATTATCCAATAAATTTCGTTACACTTCACGATTGTGTCCCACTTGTTGTTGATTCTTGACAAAAGAATAATTTGTATATCTTTATGTTTGAAGCCTGAAATGTGGCGAAATGTTGAAAGGTTCAAGGGGGCCGAATACTTTCGCAAGGCACTGTATGTTAATTGAGTGCTCTCTACATATCCGGGTACATTTTTTGACATTTTAGTTCAAATTAGATAAAATCTCATTTTTGAGCCTAAAAACGTCTGTGTGGCGCCCTCTATACCTTTTTGGTGGTACTACATTTGAATTTGGTCCTGGCTTCTCCATTGAGTCTGTGCGACTTCAGTTGGTGTGTGTGACGTCAGTTGGTGTGTGTGCGACGTCAGTCGGCGTGTGCGACGTCAGTCGGCGTGTGCGACGTCAGTCGGCGTGTGCGACGTCAGTCGGCGTGTGCGACGTCAGTCGGCGTGTGCGACGTCAGTCGGCGTGTGCGACGTCAGTCGGCGTGTGTGACGTCAGTTGGTGTGTAAGGCAAGGCAAGGCAAGGCAAGTTTATTTGTATAGCACAATTCATACACAAGGCAACTCAAAGTGCTGAACAAGATAGCATTAAAATCATAAATAATCACAGAACATTAAAACGAAAGATAAAAATATAAAATCCCTCAGTTGTATGCACAGCTAAACAGCATTGTTTTTAACTTGGTTTTAAACATTGTCAGAGAGGAGGCCTGTCTCACATCTTCAGGAAGATTGTTCCAGATTTTAGCAGCATGAATCTGAAACGCAGCCTCCCCATGTTTAGTTCTGACTCTGGGCACTAACAGGAGTCCAGTCCCTGTGCTCCTCAGAGTCCGGGCTGGTTCATATGGGACTACCATGTCACTAATATATTTTGGTGCGAGGCCATGGAGAGACTTGTACACAAGCAGAGCTGTTTTAAAGTCTATTCTCTGAGCCACAGGAAGCCAGTGCAGAGACCTGAGGACTGGACTAATGTGGTCGTACTTCCTGGTTCTAGTCAGGACTCGAGCTGCTGCATTTTGAATGTACTGCAGCTGTTTTACAGCCTGTTTGGACAGACCTGTGAGCAGGCCATTGCTCCAGTAGTCTAACCTACTGGAGACAAATGCATGGATAAGAATCTCCAAGTCTGCTTTAGACACTATGTTTTTGATCCTGGCAATGTTTTTTAGATGGTAAAAAGCTGCTGATGTTACTGATTTGATGTGGCTATTAAAATTTAAGTCTGAGTCCAGTATTACCCCTAGATTTCTGACCTTGTTTGAAGGTTTTAGGGAGAGAGACTGTAGATGACAGATGACGCTCTCTCTTTGTTTCTGGGGACCAAAGAAAATCATTTCAGTTTTGTCTGCGTTTAGCTGAAGGAAGTTGTTTTGCATCCACTCACTGATCTGTTGGATACAGTGAAGGAGTGAGTCCACTGGTCCATGTTCCCCTGCAGTCAGTGAGACATAGATCTGAGTGTCGTCTGCATAGTTGTGATAGGACATTTTGTTTCTGCGTATTAACTGACCTAACGGCAGCATGTAGAGATTGAACAGAAGAGGTCCCAGGATCGACCCCTGTGGGACTCCACAGGTCAGGGCCATATGATCTGAGACACAGTTTCCAATCTCCACAAAGTACTTCCTGTCTTCAAGGTAAGACCTAAACCAACTTAGGGCGGTGCCAGCGACGCCAACCCAGTCCTCTAGTCTCTGTAAGAGGATCTCATGGTCGACAGTGTCAAAGGCAGCACTCAGATCTAACAGGATTAGGATTGAGACTTTGCCTGCGTCAGTGTTCAGCCGGATATCATTTGTAACCTAGACGAGAGCAGTCTCAGTGCTGTGGTGGGGTCTAAAGCCGGACTGAAACATATCAAATGAGTTGTTGATTATAAGAAATCTATTTAGCTGTAGGTAGACTTTCCCCATAAATGGCAGATTTGAGATGGGACGATAGTTGTTAAGTAATGTAGCATCCAGACTGCTCTTTTTTAGCAGGGGCCTGATGACTGCAGTTTTCAGGGCCTTTGGGAATATTCCAGAATTAAGGGACATGTTTACTATCTGTGTGAGTGAAGGTAACAGACTGCTCAGAACAGACTTTAGAAATCTAGTGGGTAGTACATCCAGGCTGCATGTGGAGGAGCTCAAACTGGAGATTATCTCTTGGACAGTTTGATCATTTACAGGTGCAAAGTAAGTTAGCTCAAAGATCCTTTCTGGCTGTTGGATTGTTATCTGTGGATTGGAGACAATGGCGTTTTTGATGCCTTGAACCTTGTCATTGAAAAAACGTGCAAACTCATTACATTTACGTTTGGAAGTTAGCTCTAATGGCATTTGAACAGGGGGGTTTGTTAATCTATTAACTGTTGAAAACAGAACACGCAGATTGTTGCTGCAGCCTTCAATCATTTCAGAAAAATACCTTTCTCTCGTACTACGTAGCACCTGGTTAAACTCGCACAACTTATCTTTGAAGATCTTGTAATCAACCTGGAGGTTGGACTTGCGCCACTTCCGCTCGGCCCTCCGGCACTCTCTCTTTTGTGCCCTGACCGAGTCTGCTTTAGCCCACGGCACCTTCTGCTTATTTTTCACTATTTTAACCTTCACAGGAGCGATGGTGTCCAGAACTTTCAAAACACTAGAGGTGACAGAGTTAAACAGTTCATCTACAGTAGAATACGATGCATTCTCAAAGTTTATCATTCCCATAAATAGTTCACCCGTATTTTCATTTGTGTCTTCTTCGTACAGTTGC